TTTACGAAATAGTGCAGATTTTGACGTCTAAAAGAGTTCCAAACAAGCTTAAATTGAATAAAAAGTTTTGACTTTGACTGAACGCTACTTTCTTCCGGAACAAGAGTTACCCTCAAGTTGCAAAATCAGAAGTTTTAGGTAATTCAAGGGTGACATTATTGACATATATAGTAATGCAAATGCTGTTCAGAATATCGTCTCCCTCTTCAATCAGATCGCTAGACAAAAGTCTGAGCCATCAAACATCAAGTATATAGTTAGAGCAAGAATTCGCATGTCTTCCTCCGAAGGCATCCATAAACAATATAGGAATTTACATCTATCCTCGATTCAAATCAGACAAATCCATGGCACAGTGGCTTAGCAATAAGTTGCAGCGTAAAGGACCGGGGGTTGGGATCCCACACGGCACAGATATTTGTATAGCCTACAAATAATTGTTCCGGGTCTGGATGTTTGTCCATGTGAAATTTATGTATGTAAATTACCCTCACGATACATGAAGAAAATCCTCGTATTTTTTTCAAAAAATAAAAAATAAATTAATTAAAAAATCAAGTTGTATGTTCACCCCTGAGTACTAACAAGGAATGCTTCATTATCAATAAAAGGGTCCAGTTCTCGTTACTTACTGTAATTGAAATTGTAATTGAAATTCAGCATTATATTGATACTTTACGTTTGTATTCTAAAAAAGAATGGATATTTCCGGTAAACCAATCCATTCTTATTGCAGCCATAACTCAGCTACAGCGTGGCTCTACTACTGACTAAAAAAATTATTTTTAAAAAATTAGCAAAAGGAAATTATAACAGTTTTAATAATCTCTAGAATGAATTGCGCTCGTAAGACAAAATTGAATAAATTTATGAAAATCTTTTTGGTTTAGATGTTTCTAATTTTTAATTATGATCATCATCGTCGATATTTATGTCCTGAGTTATCGTATTATGACAACAAGTGTTGAATGGGGTAGTATAGGAGAAACCTACATAGAGGAATTCTATGCACAACTGTGTACTAAATAGATAGATGGAACAAATGCTCGCAACAGTATAGAACCTTTTTCGACACGAATCTATCAAAACTGATTTTTTTTATACGATAGGGTGACAAACGAGCACAGTCCATCTGATGGTAAGTAATTGCTGTGGCCCATAGACATCTATATCTATCCACGATTACAAATCAAAATGCAAATGCGTTGTCACCTGTGGGGACTAAGATGGAATGCGTCGTTTCCAGTAAAAAGGGTCTTCGGTTCTCTACACTCACCATATGAAACACAGCAGCATTAAGCTACTATTTTACGCTGGTATTCTGTGAGAGCGTGGTCCTTTCCCGGTCTAGCCGACTTAATCGTGCTACAACTATACTACTAACATAATTGTAGCTTGGCTTAGCCAAGTGCACGTGATTATTATTAAAGTTAAAGTTAAGACTTGCTGCCAATATGCGTTCCACTGCTGGCCACAGATCTCCTCTCATTTCTGTAAGAGTTTTAAGACAAGGAAGTGTCTGCCGCGCTGCCCCAATACGTGTTGGCGCACGTTACATATCTTCGAAATATTTTTAATGTGTTCATTTCTCAGACATGAGGTATTCCCGCGATATTTTTTTTCACCACCGAGCACGTAAAAAATCAGCGCTTAAAATCTCAATGAACAATTTTATTGGTGTCGGTGGGATCTATTCTGGGAAACTTGAATATTTACGACAAGTGCTTAGCCCGTGAATAATCGCGACGCTTGTATAATGTTTTCACAAATAATACGTTAAATAATACTCGTATTTTCGGCTCAATTTCAATCATTCATACAGTCTATCAAAGTCCAACGCTGACCGTAGGCCTCCCCGTAGATTGGGGATTCACCCCCCTCATAAGTGGGATGTTTACCAAAACAGTCACGCTCGGCAGAGTAGTTAGCAACCGCAGCTTTTTTATTTTTTAGTTTTTGTTTGATGTAGTGTTTGTTGATGCTGCTGTACATCTCGTAAATTGCTTCCCTCTATCGCTTCTTACATACGTCACCCACGGGACGACGTGCTACCTGATATACTAATATTCTTCCACCGCCACTACACTGTTAGCAAGCTTTTGGCTTAAGTTAAAACATAAACATAGGTACTTTCATAAATTTATTTTGTTACTTTTTGTAATATTATATTTATACGCAAGCTAAAAATATAACGTTTTCCAAAAGTAACTCTGCTCAAAGGAATTTTCTAGAAAAAAGAAAAATCAAGACTATTTTGCTTCCTTTTAGTAATAACTAATAACTTCATTATTACTAACTGCGGCACTGGTAGCCTCGAGGTGACTGATAAGAGACCCAGGAATCCGATGGATACAGGTGGCTCAAGACCGTGCTTTGTAACATTTCCTGTGAAATGCCTTATGTACGAGTACAGCAGTGGACTTGTGAAGGATTGTATTGATGATACGGTTTGATTTGTAATGAATTTGACACCTTGCGAGTGACCCGTGCTTCGGCAGGCGAAGAGACGATCGCAACACCAGACGTTTCGCATCATTTGCACTGTTTCCCGCCGCCATTCTAGGTATTTTACTCTGTCTATATATCTATAGATCTTTATAGCACACAAAGTCTCCTCTTACGATACTCATAGGTCGAAATGGAGTGATATGGCTTCTTCCGCCGCACCCCCGCGGTACTTATTTACTGTTTTACTTGTGTTTATAATGCTGCTGTGTCTCGTATAGTGAGTGTAGAGAACCGGAGATCCTTTTTACTGGAAACGAGGTATTCCACCGTAGGTAGTTCTCAGAGTTGACAACGCATCTACATTTTGATTTTTAACCAAAGATAAATGTAGATTCCTATGGGTAACGTCATCTAGTTACCATCGAGTGTACTGTGTGCTCGTTTTTCACCACCATTCTATTAAAAAAAATGTTATTAAACTACTAACAATTTTCAGATATATGTAGAAAATTCTCATAGCTTACACAAAAATAACAAAACGGGAGAAAAGTGCAAGAAGGAAGTAGAATTGCAAATCTAATTTGTAGGAAAAGTTTCAATAATAAACCTTCATCCTACATCGACTTAAAGTTACTTTTGAAACTTCGTGCGACGAACATGTACATAAAGTTAATAAAAGTTTTCCACGCTCATGAACATTAACTTAAATTACTTGTTTGTCCAAACGATTGAACAGAAACGAAATTGTATTTGAATAAAACTATTATTTACGGATTTTATCGCGTTTAATTACTTTAATTTATTTTTATTATTATCCCGACGTTTCGGGTGCTTTACAGCGCCCATGGTCACGGGGGGACTGAGATGTTTGACGTCCCAATGTCATAGTTAGTCCGGCTACCTTCAGTTTTTTAATATTAATTTTTGGTCCGATTTACGCAAAACGAGCTTATAGTATCATGAAGTCTTGCAGTGGTATGCTTGGGTTTGGGTTTAATTTTGTTGATTATAGGATCCCAAGCAGATGGTAGCACCCAACCATCTTCTCTATTGAAATTTGGATGTTTTTTAATTTCAATAGTCTCTTGGGATCCTATAATCAACAAAATTAAACCCAAACCCAAGCATACCACTGCAAGACTTCATGATACTATAAGCTCGTTTTGCGTAAATCGGACCAAAAATTAATATTAAAAAACTGAAGGCAGCCGGACTAACTATGACATTGGGACGTCAAACATCTCAGTCCCCCCGTGACCATGGGTGCTGTAAAGCACCCGGAACGTCGGAATAATAAAAAATAAATTAAAGTAATTAAACGCGATAAAATCCGTAAATAATAGTTTTATTCAATGTGTAGTGTTCGCGTAAATTTAAGAAATTGTATTTATTAAAAACGCAATATATCTCAATATTTGTTTTTTTTTTATAAACGTTACTCGAGGATTTTCTCCTGAATCGTGAAGGCGTATAACATACCCAAATTGCATATTAATGAACATCCTGACCCGGAATAATTATTACTATTCGGCCATATAATTTTTTTGTTCCGTGCAAGATTCGAACTCGCGGCATCGCAAATTTACAGCAAAACGCTTAGTCACTGTATTACGAGATGCTTAAATAGGTTTCTATTTTACGTAGGAAACGTTTTGCTTTTGTTCAAGATAGGAGGTACCTACCTTAATCGTTTAAACAAATATTTGTGGTTGTACACATTAAAGTACAGTTTAAAGGTAATGTTTCGTAAGACTTTGAAAAGATTTCTGTAAGATAATCATCATCATCATCATTACAACCCTGCACAAGTCTACTGCAGAACATAGGGCTATGTTCTGTAAGATAATTTAATGAAATCTTTACTTGAAATGTTTACATTACACACAATTTTACTCGTAACTTCTTTCAGACGCATAGGTGCTTTGATCAAGTATTTCACTGAACTTACTTACTATAAGTTAAAACATGTTTCTATACTACATATAATCACCTTTCAGCTATTCTCGTTTAAAATTTGCAGTCTTATCTTCTTGGTCTACTAAGGTCGTATAGTTGAAAACTTTGCAAATAATTTAAATATTCTTACCTCATAACATACTCGAAGGCACAAAGTATTAAATTCTCAAACTGCATAATTTATGGGTGATAATGTTATAACCTTTCTATAATTAAGAAAAAGTGGAAATCGAAAAGTATAAATAATAAGCGTCAAGAAATAGGTAGGTATAGATATTATTAATATTGTTGCCCGTTGTAAGCGTAAAAACTCTCTTCGACAAAAACTTTATATTATCTGTCGTTGTCTCCATAGTGGTGAATGTTTCTTTAATTATTTTTGTGTTAATTTAAGTATTTATAAGTACCAGATATTGTTATTAAGGAGTGTGAAAAAATAAACTGTTGCGTTGCCGAAAAACTGGCTTACAGTTTGGCAAAATTTAAAATATAAATAATGTACACTCTTTAAAAGAATAAATTAAAAAAAAATCGTTATATACAAGCATTTCACTGTTCCGTTTGAATGACCATTCAATTCATTGTTTTTTTTACAGATAATAGTGCGCGTGTGGTGCGAAAGCGGCACAGGTTGGTTGCCGACGCACGTGCCGGTGACGCCTCAGACCACCGGCCGGGATGTGTTGGAGTGTTGCCGGGAACCGGGCGACGAACCTTGCGTACTGTTTAGCGTTCACCCAATTCACGGAGGTAATTCTTTAAGGCGATTTCCCGAATAAAACCTTGCGATTGTGCGTTTTTCAGATACTATTATCTCATTAGTTATGAGAAATAAACTTTATCTAAAAGCACAGTATTAATTTTTGATATCCTATCATCACATGACACGCTCTAATTTCTTTTCATGTGTTATAAATATATTTGAAATCAACTTTTAAAAAATGACTAAAATTATTGATTACATGCATCTGTTGCTAAAGGCAACGCTCTAATCAATTGAGGATTACACTAATGGATAGATAATTTAAAAATCTATATTATTCACGTTTTATTTAATTTCTTAAGTTCACTTTTCCTTTTTAATTGAAATAATTCCAAATTTTGGGCGTATTTCTTACGCGATATATTGTATCGAGAGCGCGTGGATTGTATAGGACCGAACGCTCAAGGTCGTTCGCTAGGGGTAACGCCTTAACCAACATAATCATCAGTTACAATGTAATAAAAGAAATTTGTGCTGATTTTTCTTGAGGCGAGTTAGTGAACACAAAATCAAAACATCGGTGATAATACATTCCATCACCGTAATATGGAGTGGATATCACCCATAGACCCAATGTACAGAGTTATTTTCAATAGGAGCGCTTGAACTTAACAATCAGTGTAAGTTATATTACCACAATTTTTTTTGAAGGACATTCGATGACATTATGTATGTAATATAAATTCACATAAATGGCCGCCGCAACTCCGCTGTAGGTGGTGTATCCTGATGGATTATTGTACACACATACAAAGGGCGGACTTAATGCGTTTTGGCATTCTTAATATAAACTTATAAATAAATTAAACGTAACCAAAATGACCATACTAACTACCATCTGATATAACCAGGCAGATGCGTTGTCACCCGTAAGGACTAAGATGGAAGGCCTCGTTTCCAGTAAAATGGGTCTCCGGTTCTCTACACTCATTATACGACACAGCAACATTAGGCTATTATTTTACGCTGGTATTCTGTGAGAAAATGGTCGAGCCGACCCATTCGTGCTACAACTATACTATTAATATAACTGCAGAATGGCTCTACCACGTAAGAGGTAAGAGATCAACTTATAACGTCATTACACAATTTATGTGATACAAAAGCTTGTCGCAAGATTTAAATACTCGTATTTACTTAAAATTAAAAACAAATAAAATCAAACAGATCAAGTTATTTAATTTACTTGTTTATCTACACAGGTAAATCTCGTGACAAGCTTTCTCTCTTAAATTGTGTAATGACGTTATAAGTTGATAGTAAAAATTTTAAAAGAAAATTTTATTTATTCTTTATAGCGCATTTAAATGAAAGCTTGTTTTTAAAAAAGTTCTTTTAAAAAGTTCTTTTACTTTTAATTAATTTTTTATCTTTATTTATCGCTGGACAGGTTTCTCAGTCTGTTCATCTCATTCAACGCATCACAAGGTCATTTACTGGTTAATTTCGAACAGTATAGCTCTTCAATCACGTATGTTTGAGCAGCAGCAGAGTGCTTCGAGCCTAAGTATATAACGACGTAGTTGACATTACTAACCTGCATTTTGTGTACTGTGCAAGCCCAACATAATATAATTGAGAGCGTTCTTCGTTCTGCAGTGCCGTGACTATATTTTGGTGGAAATTGCACAGTCGTGTGTTGAATGAGATGAACACCGTGTTTACGGAAGTCTATACGGACGGATGGTATGTCAGTATCATTGTGCTCTCCGGAAGCAGGGCCATACGATTCTGTAATCTCATAGAAAGGTTGCGAACCAATACTGATGACGCCTATATTGCCAAATTACACAAGTCAACGTTAACCAACCGATGCTACAGACTCGAACAATGCGACCTCATTATCAAATTTTCAAATTTCAGACGGATTGACATTATGTTACACCCTGATGCCACTCAGTCCGCGGCATGACTTCACCTTGACTTGGGTGTTTGGAGGAATGCGCCACCTATATTAGCTTAAAGCTTACTTGTGCCTTACGTAAAACAGGTCTGGGTTTGATTTTTGAGTTATCCTTCTCCTAAATAGGTTGCAAGCCAATGCTATTGACGATTATCTTGCCAAATTACACAAATTAAAGTCAACCAATGGTGCTACAGACTCGAACAATTTGACCTCAATATCATAATCGAGGACTCTAAAGCGCCAGTACACAGAAATTTCAGACGGATTGGAGCAACGGAGTTTATTATCACCATCTTATTTTTTTAATTTGCATTCGTATTTTCAGCATGTCCTTTCATTTGATACCCATATTGTAGGAAAGCATAAAAAACTTAGTCCACCATCTTTAGAAGTCCGCCATATTGGATTAAGAGTAACGTCACTTTATTCCTGGTTTCGATCATGTTGATGCTGCTAGCCTATGCGGCTCTTACAGCTTCATTGGACTCGGGGCTATAAAAAGTAAATTCTAACATTCCGCATCGTTACTTGCGTAAAGATAACTCCTAAGATAGTGTACAGTGCACGCGTAAGTTATCTAACGGCCGTCCGAACAAGGGGTGGTGGGCCCCGGCTCTGACAGCTAAATCGTGTCGTTCGATGTTCTGGGCGGTGAGAACCGCCTAGGGACGCGGGTGTACGGTGTGTACGCGGTGTGGAGGGGTGTGTGTGTAGTGGGTAATGGTGACGGTAAATCTCGGTCGCGCTAGCAACTACCTTCCCGTTCAAAAATAGATTATTTTGTTGACACAAAAGATCTCAAGATATATGCTGAAGGCTATTTGAGGCAATTAATATTCTGTTAAGTACAAGTTTCATGCTGCTATTATTCAATAGTGTTTGTCTCTAAGGAACTTTTTGAGTACCAATGGAACGTGTTTTAACGATAAAAAATCAATTAATAAAGTGAAATTGCTCACAGCTAGTTAATAATACATTAAGCCGAGCCTGAAATGATAAACTTTGATAAAATCTAAGTACTTATGTACATTTATAACGTATAGGGGTATATATATATATATATATATATATATATATGTATTCTTTTCGATTCGCAGCGTCAGACATCAAAGGAATCCAAGTATTCCTTCTGGCATATCCCATAGTCGTATTTTTTTATTCCTGGGGAATTATTATTCATTCCAATATTCTTATCTTTTTGGTTTAATACCTTATTAAATATTTTAATCTTTAATTTTTTTTTCAATACCTTTAAATACTTTCTACCGTTCTTAGCGTAACATACATTTTGTATCCATATGCGTTGTTACCCCTTAGGACTAAGATGAAATGCCTCATTTCTAGCAAAAAGGATCACCGGTTTTCCATACACACTCGATACAAAACACAGAGCAGCATTACGCTGTTATTTTACGCTGGTATTCTGTGAGAGCGTGGTCCTACCCCGGTCGAGTCGATAACTGCAGCGTGGCTCTACCACGTTAAACTTATATTCTCAAACGCATATTGCTTCCCCAATACATCCGAACATCCGAACCTATTGTTTATAAATTCAGTATCTATATATTTATTAACCTAATGCAAAAGTGTAGTAATGCTCGTGTAGTGAAAATGTAAGTACTTACAGTACCCACGGGACTTTGGTGCTGTGTGGTGTCGGCGTTAGAGAATCCATCACTCCATTTCGTCTGATTGAAAATGTCGTTTGATTGAAGCCACTAAGGGTTTTACAAGTGCTAGATTTTATTTCAATTCAAACACAGAATAGGGCTTTGACTTTTATTGTATATTTTTTAGAATAGATTTGTATTCGAGTGTATATTCTACATTTACCCTTTTTGCCATTTTCGTTTTTTTAAAGAGTTGGCTGTATAGTTATTATATTACGTTCATCTGTATCTACTGAGTCTGTATTTTGGTTGAAAGAAGGCAGTTTTATCCCTGTTTAAAACATTTAATTTCAGTTCTAATCTAACCTTAGTATTTAGTACTGAAAAATGTCAAGAGATGTCGCGAGCGTCGAATTACAACTCGTTATCTTTTCGTTTACGGCAAACCGTATAGGGTCTGAGAATTATTATGAAAATAAATTGTTTAACTACTGGTGACATCTGGAGTTTAATTTCAACATCCGCAAGTTTAGACAAAAAGTGGTGCCGAAACCAGGGAGACGAAGGACATAAGTGTAACAGTGAGTAAAGTGACGAAAAAATTACAAGTGTTAAAGGCTTAGAATAATTGTGAGTGAACTGTAAAATTGACAAAGTGTTTAGAACTTAGAATATTTCGTGTGCAGTGAATAATTGTCAGAGTCCCAAAGACTTAGAAAAATTTAACTCGTGTTGGAACTTAGAAAATTTACTGATTATGGGACTTTAACTTTTTACTGATTATAGGACTTAGAAAATTTTCGATCAGTGGAATTTTCTTTGGTATTTTACAAGTGTTTTGAACATAGTCTCTGGAACATTTTGTGAACTTTTTACAAGTGTTTTGGACATAGTCTCTAGAATATTTGCGAATTTTTTAAAGTGTTTTGGACATAGTCGCTGGAGCGTTTGGTGAACATTAGTACAACATTTATTAGTGAATTTTGTAGTTATTTGGACATTTGTTTTGCGTCAACATTGAGGAGATAAACTCAATGATTCTCAAACAAACTGAGATTAGTCAGCGTATTTCAAAGGCATTTAAGAACTTTAAAAAATCCCCGAAGGATAGAATTACGGTGCCCTACATCCGAATTAGAGAAGAAACTTTAAAGGCACATTGGGACCTATTCAACTACAACCATTATGAGATTGTTGCTGCCACCTCACCAGACGATCAGAAGCTGTTGGCGTACTTCCTCGAGAATGCGTATGACTATTGTGAAGATACATATTTGACATTCAAGACTATGCTGCTAGAGCAGTTAGAGAAGCTTGTTCCAACCAGCCCAGCTGCTAAATCGAGCAACTCTGGTAATAATTCGGAGACAAGTTCAGGAAACACTGGAAAGCCGCAACCTGACGTGAAGCTACCGAGAATAGAGTTGCCAAAGTTTACCGGGAACTACGACGAATGGCAGAGCTTCTACGA